TTTATTTACAAAATGACTTTAAGTGCTGGATGTCTGCCCCCTGAGCAGTTTAGCTGAATAACCCTGCTGTATGACATAAATATAGTTTACATGAGCACATCGTTGTACTACAGTGCCACACTGTGTGAAAGACTATTTTGGTAAATTCCTAACTGTCAATAAAATAAATTATGCATTGCAAAATTGTTGCATTGTTCTACGTCTTGCTGTTTATTTCTTGTGACACTTCTCTGAAGACATTAGTGGTTTAAAGTCTGGTTCAGATGGTTGATGTGGGGTTTTAGGGAGAGGTTATGAACAAACCTGCTGTAAGCCAAATGGACTGCTGCTGTCTTAAAACAACTCCCGTCTCATTCAGAGTGGTTCATGCAAACTATGGTTTGAAACGTGCACTAAAGATGTGGGGCTATACTCTGCTGCACACGATCATAGTGTTCAGTGACTTTTCTTTTAAGCATGGGAAAAGTAACTGCAGCTAAACATAAAAGAAAAATTCATATTTGACCATACAGCAGCAAGGTAAGAAAAAAAGAGTTGAACGGGACTTAAAGCTTGTACTGAAACCTGCCTGCAGGGAAGATTGGTCCCGTTCAGGCCTTAGCTTCCAGATTTTGGTCCAAAGACAAACGCAACATTTGTTTATAAATGTTTATTAAATTACATTTGCATAGACTGCTATAAACTTTCTTGAGTGTAGCTGTTAAAAACTACAGCGTTCCACTTTGGCTTCCACTCTGCCTGTAGCCATTAGCTCCTCAGTGTGGTGAGAATTAAACATTATAAATTAAATAAAGCCCTTCACAAAGCTATCTGTAATAGGCACAAAATTATACATTGTTTATTTAACTGGGAAACACACAATAAAATCACAGATATGTTTAAGGGAGGTTTGAAAGCAGGCAAAACGTGCATGTTGTTAGACTGTGGGAGGAAACCAGAGTACTCGGAGAAAATCCACACAAATCTGAGGTGAACAAGCTAACACAACACAGAGACCTCAGGTCGAACCGGGGCTTGAACTCAGGCCTTTTTTACTGAGTCAGCAGTGCTAACCACTGATCTATCATGTTTTCCCACCACCTCAGACCTCTACACTTCATGATGCAGGGGGAGGGCGCTCCGCATCATGAAGGACTCCACTCATCCTGCACACAGTCTGTTCCAGCCCCTCCCCTCAAGCAGGCAGCCGAGGAGCATTCAGAGCAAGACCACCAGGCTCTGAAACAGTTTCTTCCCTGCAGCTGTCAGACTGATGAACTCGACCTGCACTTAATTCAGCTTCATCTGACTTTTTAAAAACTTTATTTTATATATATATATATATATAAAAAAAAAAAAAAAAAAAAATAATTTTATATATATATATATATATATATATATGTATGTATGTATGTATGTATATACTTTGTATGTTTATATATATATTTATACTCTTTTGTATTTATTTATTTGTTAATTGTCAAACTTCTTGATCTGGGACCTGAGTCTGAATTTCGTACCATAAACATGTGAGCTGGTATAACAATAAAAAAATCCTTGAATCCTTGAAATCAATTGGTCATAAGCTTTTGACAAAATTCTACTTTTGAAAGAATCAAACTATTCCTTTAACCTGACTCTTATTCTCACATCTTAAGGACAAATCAGTTATTCAGAGCTTAAATTGTACTACAGTAAGTAAAATATTGCACCAAGAAACAACACAGATCTCACACTTATGTTTCTTTAATGGTCTTTACAATAAAAACAACATCTTCTTCAACATACTGCATAATCTGCATGTAGATGAAATAAATAGCAAAAAGAACAATAAAATCAATAAAATAAAGCAGAGTTGCTTCACTGGGTTTGTGCAGCTGTACAGCACAGAGTATAAAACAAAGGAAGAAGTGGGAGTGATACTGCAACAGCAGAAGAGTCCTGGCTGGAGTGGAGGTCTTCAGTCACACACACACACACACACACACACACACACACACACACACACACA